TTAAATTTGTCAATATGTATGCACACTCATGCATTAAGGTTCTAAAAGCTTAGATATTGTATAGAAGTATGTTTCTGCTCTTGTTTGGCATGAACAGTGAACTTTTTCTATTAATTTTTTAGGATATGTAGTGTCTAAGTGATGAAGCTTGCCACTCTTGCTTAGTTAAAATGTAGCTCTCCTTCAGCCAACACCTTTTGAAGTGCAGATGTCTGTTATACATTCTTGTACAAAATCTCATCAAAAGTTTTAAGTTCAGCTTTTGTTTCATAAAATAAATGAAAAAATGATTTGTAGTAAGTGCCTTAGAATTCTGAATTACATGTAAGTGTGTTGAACTGGACTTCAAATGTTACTCATTCTATACAGCAGTGACCAAAACCAGTCCAACATTCTGTGGGATCATTCTCATTGACTGATAAGGCACAAGACACACATGGTGTTGTGTCATTGTCAAAACATTTCTTAGTCTTTTGATATCCTAGGACATACATATTCTAAAAAGTACAAAAATCAGAATCTAATCACATTTGAGTTTACTTTATTGTTTATGCTGTGTGCATTGTACCCTCTGTCTTTTGTTTCCAAGCTCTCTCTTGTCATCTCATTCAGGACATAGAGTGACCGCTGGAGGAGGGCAGCACCTGTAACATCACACAGAGATGTAACATTTTCTCCCACACTTCACATCCTCACCAAGCATCATTATATAGTATTTCTGTTCAAATATTCTTAAGATGTTGTTTCTCATCCTCTTATAAATCTTTTAGAGAATTATTTTAATACTATAATTACAACAAAAAGGATATTTGGTAATGGAAACAAGTCAACAAAAATGTTTTTAAAATTAGTCACCTAGTCCAGGGCTAAGATCAAAATTCAACTCTTCTGTTTGCTAACCAAGTGTTTTGGAAACGCACTTCTTAAAGACAGTCTTCATGCCTCTGGGCCCATCAGCCACTGCTACCCATCCTAGGGTCACCATGCTGGACCAGCACCCATACGGCCTTTCCCGCCACACACACACCATTCCCACTCAGGTGACAGTCTGACAACGGAAAGTGTGCCAGGGTCTGAGTTAGAGCCTGCTCCCTAGGCCCCAGTTAGGAATTACTCAGGTTTGCTGTGAAAAATGACAACTGTACAAAGTGTCACTAGCTTGAAGTATTCTGAGTCCTGTTTAATACTATATAGTTGAATAATAGTAAATCAACTTGATTTAAAACAAAACCAAGTATGTGAGTATTGCTGTATTAAACAGGAATTGTTTTCATTTTAAAATATTTTCAAGTTTTCTTAAGAAAAGTTGCTTAACACATAATTTGAAGATTTCTAGAAGAAATATTGAATAGACTTTTAATATCACATCTAAGCAATTTTCTAATAGATTCACAGTCTCCGTCACTAGAAACAACAGGAAAAACATGCCGAAAACTGCAGAACAGACTGGAAAGTCTGCAAACCCTGGTAGAAGATTTACAGCTGAAGAACCAAGGTACAGTAGAGAGGTCTCCAGACCTGGGGTTTAGCTCAGTGACAGATGGCTTGCCTACCTAACAAAAGCCCTGGGTTCAGTCTTCAGAATTGGGGGGGGGGATCACAAAAAGATATACACATATACAACACGCAGGCACGCACAAATATTTTTCTACCAATGAACATTAACACAATAAATGTAAGCATATTAATAGTAAAGGGCTCTGCAGGCACTCACTAACCAGCTCTGGATTCAGTACTGCTTGTCTTCATGGGCCTCACAACAGCATGGGAGTGTAGGAACTGTGACTGTCAGGATGCGAGCACACAGCACAGCCAGTCCTATGTCACAGAGGACAGTAGTGCTGGGATTCGATCCCCACTGCTCCCGACGCTGAAGCCCACATCCGCTAACACACGGAGGTCACAGCACATTGAGTAAAATCCAAGTGAATCCTGTTAACTCCAGCTCCCCCCTGAACAGTAAGAACACATTTATTTTTAGGTTGAGTCTTTAAAAAAATTAGTTCAAGAATTTTATAGTTTATTTTGATCACATTTCTTTCCCTAAGATCCGCCCCTTCCTCTCCCACCCACCCAACTTTGTGCCTTTTTTAAAACTTACCAAATATAATTGGTGCTGCCCATATAATTGTTTTTAAAAGAAGGGAGGCTTTTGGGGTTTTTTTTTTGTTTTTTGTTTTTTTTTTGGCCCACCTTATACCCACACTTTGATTTATATTTCTGAGTTCATCCTACTTATGTCATCCTAGAGTCATCTAATTAGAAGTTGTGTGGCGTTTGTTTAATAGAAACAGTAAATTAGACTAGAGGCAGTGTCTGGTAGGATGGCTCTTGAAGTTCTGTACAAATAGTTTTGGAGGGTTTGGACAGAGTTTATCAAAATTTAAAGTTCAGGGCTGTAGATACAGCTTGGTCCTAGGGCATTGCCTTGTATGTACAAGGCCATGGGTTCAATCCTAGCACAACCAAAAGCCAAAACCATACCGAGAAATTCTCCCAAACTCTTTATAATAGTGACTTCTGCCCCCAAGATTCGAGGACAGGTGGCTTTCTACCCTCCGGAGGCACTTGCAGTATGTATGCTTCTTTTACCTCATCCTGCTTACGGAGGCTGTAAGTTTACTCACCACAACAGCCCTCACAAATGTGCACTGCATTGAAGTTTTCCATCCCACACCACCGGCTCAGACTGAGTCTGATCCGAACGCTAAAGGCTCATCCCTGAAGACAAGCGTGAGAAGGCTTAGAACCCGAGTTGACTTTCCAATCTAACTTTGCTTTATTGACATTTTCAGCAATGTCTTCAATGATCAGAAATCAAGAGAAGAGGATTCAGAAAGTAAAAGACCAGGAAAAAATGTTACTAAAATGACACATTGCTCGCCTGCTCCCTAAAAGGGCTCACGCCCGATTAATTGTGATGTTTCTTATAATTAGTGCCCTGTGGACTTTTTCTTTTTATGTGAAAATTTAATAAAAGATACCCTGTCCTGTAAAGTCTGTTTTGAAATAAGCTTCTTGAATCCTGTCACAGTAAAACTTGGAACACTACCAGCTAGATTTAAAAGTATTCATATATTATAATGTATTAATTTATGCTAATATCTAGCATGTTGGTATAATTGTCTTAAATTATTTTACTGGTTCTAAGATAGTAGAGCCATTTTGTTTTTCAGCTTAAACAAATTCTGAGGAGGAAAAAAAGAGTGTTTCATGTGGTGTAAGCTTAAACAAATTCTGAGGAGAAAAAAAAAGAGTGTTCATGTGGTGTAAGGGTACAGTGGCAAGAACAGAAGGACAAACTCCAGCACTCTGGACAAACAGCAGCCTTCTTTGGTGACCTTGAGCTCATTGTTTGTTCTGTCAATATCACTAATCAACAAAACTTTGGTGGCCCCAGTCAAAACTCTCAGAAATCTCTCCTCTTGCATAAAGCTAAAGAAAAGACAATACTTCGTTAATCTTTGACAAATGAATAGGTACGCTCTAGATTGAACTAATATAGTCTACTTTAATTAAATTTTAACAAATTGGGGGTATTCGTATGCAAACCAAATATAATGAGATGAGGAGGACAGACATAAGTGTTTCACTTGTGCCATAATATTAGAGACAATGTGGCAGGGGTTAACTGTCCCCAAAAATGTATTCTTCCATTCCCTAGTACACAGTTGTCACAGGGACACAGCTGCTAGCTGGAGTCTGTGTTGTGGCCCCCTGTCCCTCACCTGTGGGGGTAGTCATCTGACCAGTTCTCACAGGTGGAGTAGAACACGAACAGAGAACACTTCAGGTCAGAGTGTTAATACTGCAGTTGTGGGTTTTCCTCAGGTTATTTCCCTCCTACAGACTGGATGCAGAGGGCGGGGAGGGCCCTTAGGATGGCCACACCACAGGGCAGAGGGGATCTGGGAGCTCTACAAGGAAGGGAGCTGCTGCCCAGATGACCTACTGATGACTGATACAAGGACAAGAAATCTGTGTGGTGTTCCTGCCGTCTTACATGGATGCCAGCAGGAGCCCTGACTCCACAGCCATCAGCTAAGAGGGCGGACACGCTCTCTCAGGGAAACCTCGTCTCGTGCTCCTCCCAATGACAGTCATCACTCTAAGCACAGACAATGGTCAAGAGACATATATGTAATTATAAATAATATGTGTATAATAGCACAATCTGTTTAAGTCAGTTGGCTTTAATGAAAGATTAACTTTTATTTCATCAGTAACTATCAATAGAATTCTAGAGACTTTTGTTTAAATTGCTTTACTTCACAGGAATATTGAGCGTTGTGAAGTAATGGCCGGCACCTTCTGCCGACCTCATTATGAGACATAAGCACAGTGTATGGGTTTCATCCCGAAACAGCTGTGAGCCCAGAGCTTGCAGGCCACCTGCCGAGCGCCATCTGATGCTGCTTTGAGTTGAGTCCATACTTTTGTCAGCAAAGGCCATCTTAGCCAGAGTTAAGTACTGTTTTGCCAATAGCTATTGTACTTTTTTAACACATAAACTGGCGGATGGACTTAGGACAATCAGGGCTTGAAGGTCGTCCTTAGCTATATATCAAGTTCCAGGACAGTTTGGGCTATCCCCTCTCGAAACAACCACCAAGAGCTGGGATGAGCTCAGGGGTAGAGTGTTTGTCTGGCACTGCATACAGGGTGTGGTGGCACATGCCTGTAATCCCAGCACTTGAGGAAGCTGAGGCAGGAGGACCAGTCTCAAGGGCATACTTGGTTACACAGTGAATTTTTGGGCAAGCCTGGATTACCAGAAATCCTGCCTCAGAAAGACTTCATCTTTAAATACTTGCATGCTGAATTCCCCTCTAAGCAAAGTTTTAGAAAATATTTAAAATTCTCTCCAAAAGGGAAAACAGACTCCATATGTCATTTGCTGTAACATTTGATGTTTGCTTTTCTCTATATGTAAAATACTATACCATTACTTTATATCTAGTTATGGTGCTAAAATTGAAACAAATAATTCAGACATTTTATAAAGATATTACAACTCAGGATTTATTATTCAGTTATAACTTAAAAACTTAATTATCCCTTCACAGAGCAAAGATATTCTTCCGCATCATGGTCCTATGTAGTTTTCACTCACTGGTATGAGAGGAGAGTGAAGAGGTGACAGATGGAAAAAAGCTTCCCCAGGGCAGCCCATCTACTGAGACCTGGAATGGGGTGGGGGAAGTGACTTCTGGGAGGGCACTGTAGGGAAAGGATGCACACGCCCTTGCTGGAGCCAGGCGGGGGCCTGTAAATCCCAGTCCTCAAAGGAGTACAGTCACCTTTCAAGCCGCCTCACCATCTTAGCCACCCCACTCGCTCCACTTCCTGGATGACCAACTCTGATTAGGACATTAAGACAAAGCCACACCGGCTAACCCCACACCTATCCTCAGCGCTTACAATGGAACAAACACTAATGGGGAGTCTCTGAGTGTCACTCCAGTCCTGACTGATCACAGTTCTATATGGTGTCGTTTTAAAATGTAAACATGTTGTGTTAGCTGCATTTAATGAGGCTTACCGACATCTCCCTGCTCTAAGAGCCACAGGCTCTACCTCGTACTTGTGCAGTTGGTTAGTTTCTCCTTGCATAGTCCATGCCTCAGTCTTAGCCCAAACCAACTCCCCAGGGACGGTCAACCCCTCAAGTAATGTCTCAGCACAAACCAGTCAGTGCAATAAGGGAAAAGTTCCAGCTCACCGATAGCATCATGGGCATGCATAAATCCTCCTACATTCTGGACAAAAGCCACACTAGCAACTCTGATGGCTACAAATGGGATTACACTGCCTTTAAATTATGCAGTGTGCTCTACAGCCTTAGCCTCTTCCAACTCTGCTGCGGCCTCTTGCTCAGATGCTTCACACCGCGAGTCAGTGAATCCCCCACCACCCATGAACCACTTTAGCCTCATGGCCAGTCTGCAGGAGTCTATTGCTGCATTCTTCCCAGCGAGTAACTTCCCTATTCTCTACCAGCACAAACTTCCATTCCACCACCGTGTCCACAGGCAGGAAGACAGAATGGGACCACAGCCCATCCTTACAGTAATGGAGCGGGACGTATCTGGTCCATCCCCCAAGATTCTCGTGGTCTCCAGTTACTGCAATGAACTGCACATCGGAGCTTGTGTTGTAGTGCACCTGGAACTGGATGCTGACCTGCTGAGCTTCCAGGGACACGGCCTTCCCATCTACTTCCCAGCCTCTTCCTCCCACAAGAGTGCTTCTGCCGTCACCCATTCCCTGACTTAGGCCCTCAAGACTGCTACCCAAGCCAGCATCCCCCCAAGATAAGTGCCTGGACACCACTTCCCAGTCCTCGTGGCCTGCTGGGTCCTGATTGGCTGGCTGTGCAGGGCTGGCTGCTTTAGCTCTGTCCCTGAGCAGGCTGCTAGACGACAGCTTCTCTGCCATGCTCCCCGCTGTTTCTTGTCCTTTACAGGATCTCCATTCTCCTCTATGAACTTCCGGGCTTTGATTCCTCGACACTTCTGGGTTGGCCCTGGAGTGGGTGTCCGCACTCTTTCCAGCAGGTACACATTCTCTGGCATTGCCCCAGTCTGCTCCAGTATTCTCAAGTCTCTGTGCTCCCTGCAGGTTACCAAGATCTTTGGTCTCGGAAATCAAATGTCCGTTGCTTTCTTGAAGCTGCTCTGAGAAAGGAAAATGTAGCAACTTTAGCTGGTTTCACAAAGGGAAGAGAATGGTTGCTATCATCTCGGTTTCTATCTGTAGGTCAAGCTCCTGTAGGAATCAAGTGTCTATTTGCACCTTCTCAACACCACTCTAAGAGCACACATGCAGAGCCAACAATCAGAACACACTCAGTGTGCTCAGCACGAGAGACAATGAAGTGGCAGGCACAAAGTCTCCACAGGCCAGACCAGGTTGGCAGGGATCCAAAGTTAAGTCACTTGGCTCCTGTCATAAAAAAAAAAATGCTGTCTGGGGTTGGAACAGGAGCTTAGCAGGCCCAGCCGCACACACCATGGCTTCTGTGGGACAAAGGACTCCCTAAAGTGAGTGCAGGACAGGGTTAGCTCTGGAAGGCAAAGGGGTCAGTGTGAGCAGAGTTGGGGTGGGGGTGGAGGAAGTGAGGGGGGAGAAATCTCTCCAAAGACACATGAGGTTCCACTTACACACACACTATACACACACACTATACACTCTTAAAAATTGTTCTAAAAAGTCCACAATCCAAGTCGCTCAAAGACTTGGTTTGTTCCCTGGCTACCTAAGTAGCTCTCAAAACCTGACCTTCTACACTCAGCACGTGGGCTTTTTAATGGTGAGCTTCGGAGTGAGATATCAACAAACCTCAATTCCCCAATTAAAACATGAGGCTGGCCTTCATACAAGAAAACAGATGAACCGTTTTTCAAAAATCAGCCGTGGGAAAGATTCTCACGTAACTACAAATGACTACCACTAAAAATAAGTTCGGCCAGGCAACGCCAACCTTCCAAAGAAGGGCACAGGAAGACGGGGCTTCGTGCCAATGCACACTGGTTGCCTGGTGCGGGGTCTCTAGAATGTAGATGTAAACTACAATTCTCACCAGTTTGGTCCCCCAGTAGGCCGACTGGGCTGTTGTAAGTGCACGCACGGCCAGTGCACAGCTGCAGCGGCTTTCATGATCCACGTCTAAGCTGAATTTTACTTTCCTGAAGCAATTGTCCAAGCGAGTGCTCAACGCTCGCCAGCCTCAAACTCAGATCTAAGAAGGGGCGTGGGGTGTCAGAGCTTGAAGCTACGGGGACTAAGACTCAGAGGATGCCCCTTCCAGCTTCATGGAGACTACGGAGATTTGTGAGATGTCCCCCCTCCCCCGCCCCTAACCCAGCCTCGAGCACTGCGCCAAGCGCCGCCGGCCGGAGGAGCCGGTGCCGGCCTGAGCGGCAGGAGCAGGGCGCTGCCTCTGGAGGACCCGGGTGGCTTCTCCAGGACAGTACAGCCCGGGAGGGAACGCAACCGGGCCCGTGGGGGGTTCCATCCCAGGTGGGGGAAGTTAGTCCACCACGATCCACCTGGAGAGCTTCAGGTGGCTTTCATTCCCCCTTCCCCAGTGAACTCCGAAACACCGGGCACATTTGCCCCGAGCCCCGGGGAGGAAGAATACCTGGTTTGGAGACCAGCACCCGCTCGGAAGGTTCAGGGCTCAGGCCGCCACCGTCACCCGGACCGCCTCCCGGAGCCGCAGCCTCCCCTGGAGGAGCGTCCTTCTGCGGCTCCGCACCCCCGTCTTTCCCCGGGACCCCAGGGTCGCCCCGCAGCAGCCACAGGATAAGCGCAGCCGCCAGACACCCGCCGACCAGCAGGGCGGACCAGACGGCGCCCATGGCTGAGAGGCTGCGGGAGACTACGGGCCCCGGACCAGGGCTCCGCTCACCCGCACGGCCACACCCACCCCGCCCGCCTCAGCCTTTTACGGTTCCTAGGCGGCCAGCCCGGCCCTCAGTGACCGCGAACTTCCCCGGCCCCGCCCCGCCCCGCCCCCGCCGCCCGGAGCTCGCCGATTCCCCCCTCCCCCCCCCGCCCCAATGCCCAAGCCGGGGTCCCGCTCCACTGGATTCCGCACAGCACCGAGCCAGGGCAAGGAACTCCTGGAGCTCAGAGGAGACAGGGGGCTTAGAGACCAGTACTCTTGCTGGACGGTTAGCACACGGAGAGGTGGAGAGGGCGGGGAAGGGAAGGAGGACGCGGGGCGGGGGATGAGTGAGTGAGTGAGGGCAGGGAAGCCTAGAGGAAGCGCCACTTCTGCCCGCAGCTGTGCCCAGCTTTTTCAAACCTCTGTGTAATAATCTACTTAAAGGCCCACTTCAACCAATCCCTTTCCCCCTCGAACCTCTTACTCCCTCCCTTTTAAAAAGAAGGGTCCAGGCTAGCCTAGAACTCTCTATATATCTAAAGCTGGCCTCAAACTCCTGATTCCGCGTCTCAAGTGCAGGGTTACAGATGAGCTTCGACATGGCCGGATCCTTCCACCTCTTTTTGCTGCGTACATCCATTCATTTGAATTGGATATTGCACACGGATGGAGCCCCTACATGTAAATATTAATAAAACAGCGACCCTTTATCAAGCATCATATATTCAAAGCGTTTTGTGTATAGACTTAAACTGATCCTCACACAATAGACGTCCTATGAAGGACCACACTGCTCTGTCGATGTGTACACACACCTACTTCAGGTTAATGCGCCAGGACTTTTTATTTCTGGAGGTTTTCCCTTAAACTCATCCTCCCACAGCCTCCTGCTAAGGCCACAGCTGGAGACTATGTGCCTTGAAGCTATTACTAACATGGCTCCCTCTGGGAGATCCCAGTTCTCCTTGCTGGGATCACACAGCAGCTCTCAACAGGCAGATAGGTAGAAAACACAGCAATAAAAAAGACTCCTGCTTTATTATTAAAGTATTGGATATTAAAATGAAATACTGCTATACCCATAGTTGAGAGCACCACTCAGCCCTGTCAGACAAGCTTCTTGCAGTAGATGGTAAATTAGCACAGAGACCCACAGCTGGGCCATGTGTAGCGCGTGAGAGATTTGGGAGCACTCAACCCTAAATGGGATGACTTTATTAAACCCCCTCCCTTCAGCCCTCAAGGAACTGCCTGGAAGAGGAGGTAGAAATATTCTAAGAGTCAGATGATCCCAAGGAAACAGTGTCTGGCAGACACACCAGGACTTGAGACACGTATGCACTCACAGAGATTGTGACAGCATGAACAACACCGGCGCAGGCTCAAACCAGATAAATCCCGCACTGAGAGGAGGAAGTGAGCGAAAAGTCCCCCCTAATCAAGAAGCTATTTGCGACTGATGCCTGCTGAAAAGGGAAATCCGTTTTCTTCAAGGGAGCACACCGGTGTATCGGCCAGGAGGGGATGGTGTACACACAGAGGACTCCGTGTTTGCTTAGTTTGGTGTACTTTTTGTTTGTTTTGGTATTTTCTGTCTTTTAATTTTTTCTTTTTTTAAGTTTGTGTTTTGGTTTTCATTTTGGTGTTTTGCTTTTATTGAGAAAGGAAGGGGGGAGGACATGAAATTGGGTAGATAAGAAGATAAGGGGATCTGGAATGAGTTGAGAGAGGGAAAATATGATCAAAATATGTAAAAAGTTTAATTAAACTTATTTAGAAGAATTTAATAGATAAGTAGGTAGACAGACGAGATAGATGAGGTAGCATAGGAGGAGGTACACGGATAATGTATAGCAGCGTAGTTAGGAGGGTTGCCTAATGAACATCTCCAACCCAACTCACTTACATGAAGACAGTACTTCACGCTAAACTAAAACACAAGCCCCTACAGGCTGCCTGTCGGTCCCACTGTAATCATGTCCCACCTACACAGAGGATTCTTCAATGGCTCTACATCTCACAGCAAAACCCTGTCCTCATGACCTCTGAGGGCTCACCCTCTCTGGTCCTCTCTCGCCAGGTCGCCAGGTGGCTTCTTCAGCTTACATACATCTTACATGCATTTCAAGCACAACTTACATAGAACTTGGTGTGATCTTTTTCAAACACATTTCATGTCTTTGACTAATTAGTGATTCAGTGGTGAACATGGGAGCCATAATATATCCAAACCATACCTTCCATTATATACCAGTGAGCATAAGCCCAGGGTTTCCCTGGGTTCTGTGAAAACCAAGTTCATGAAACCCAAGGGAAAAATCACAGGATTCCCCCCCCCACCCCGACTTCATAACCAGCCAATCAGAAGTAGGAAGTGAATGAATTTGGGATTAACCTCTGAAATGGGGAGTCTTAAACTGAGCCCTTTAATTTATGAAATCAAAACTGACTTCAGGCAGAGAGTGTCAGAGTTGTGTGAAAGTGGAGGACATCAAGTTGATGTCCATGAGTTGGAGAATTGCTTGGTGGGGGGAGGGGGACGGACGACACCTCTCCCTACGTACCAATTCTCACCACCTGGAGCTAGGTGCTTAAGAGCAGGAGAGAATAAACAGTATCCTTCCACTGACCTCTGCATTGTCAGTCTCAGTGTGGGCACCCTGGGACCCCATCGGTGTACCTCCACCTGCTCCGGCTCTGATGCATTCTGCAACTATTCTTAGCTCTGCTCAACACCTTCCCTAAAACTCGGCATTGCTTTCCTGGGCTCAGAATTCCACCTCAGCACCTCCTCCCTTCCTCACACTGATATATGCCATTCTTTTATTTGAATTCTGAACACATGAACTTTGTTAGTGCAAAGTCTGAGGTTTTCTCTCATGCTATACTTATTTTTGGAATCCATTTCCTCCTCCTCTAGCTTGCAAATCCCTTTGGGGGGGGTCAGAGCACTTCATTCTTTGTGTTCCATGGAATGCCAAGTCTATCATGCAATACACCCTTTTATTGTTGCTCTTTATTGAGTGCCTAATTGATGTAATTGATGCTGGCCCCTGGCTGGTGCTTCATCAGGATTATCTCATGCACGCCTCGGAGTCTGATCTGCTCAAGGTCATCCAGGGGATAGCCGACTAGGCTAAGATTTGGACCCAGCATCCTGACCCCAGGATTCCAGCTCTGAACCTCTAGCTACCCCAAATCCTGATTGTGGTTAAACTACATTTACATTTCAAAACATGCATTTTAGAAGTGGGTGTGTGAATTTGGGCATGTGTCATCAGAGGAATCTTCAGGGAATATTCCAGCATGATGCTGAAGTGTAGCCGTGTATTGGTTTCTCATTCCTCCCTCTCCAAGCCCTGGCTCTCTGGGGATGTACCATCAGCACCTGTCCATTTCTGTCAAGCTCTGTGCCTGTGTCTTTGCATGACATTCATCACAGGCAAATGCTCTCTGTGGATCAGTCACGTTGGAGCCTCCCAGGTTCAGGTTTCGTAGAGACATTTTCTAACTGCAACTGTTTGCAAACCTCTGACTCATCTTGGAATCTGGATGGACTCCAGGCTGAGCTGCTTGGTAATGATGAAACCTTTAGATACGGGCAATCTGTACTGGGAAAACTAGCTAGCTCGCTGTATAGAGAAGTGGGGGAGGGAGGATGGAGGGGTAGTTGGGCTGCATTAAACAGTGGGTTTCAGGTGGAATAAAAACCCTAAATGAAAATGGTAAAAGTACAAGGCTAAGAGAACAAAATCCAAGACACTGTCACAGTGGAAGTACCTAACATAGGGGGCGATGTAATCACATTTAGTGGGTGCTAGACCATTTATCAGATAGCTCCAGACAAGGGCAGATAGATAGCCGTGCTGTCTAGAAGACAAAGGATTAATAGCTGGATACCCACCAAGTTCTCACACACTGACAAGAAAACGACACAGGGGACATTCTTTCCTTCACATCTAGACGGAGCAGACAACAGACACCCACGGGCTGAAAGAACAAATACAGAGCTGCTCAAAGCCACTGCTAATCAGAAAGGGAAAGGCAGGGCAAGTGTCTGCATCTATCCTGGAAGCAAACACTAGCAAGAAGATGGGGTGGCTTCTGGGAAATTTACGGGGTGCAGTCAGAACCCTTGCATGAAATGAACAGTGTGTGTACCCCACCACACAGCCCTCATCAGCATTCAAGGCCTGCGAGTCACCTGGCTACACAGGGAGGAGAAAACAACTCAGTGGAATGTTCTGGAGACCTAGAAAACCCTGGGGGTGTTCCACGAGGTGTCCAGAGTCCTGTACGGGAGGGTCCATACAATGCGGAATCAGCAAACACCCAGAGAGGTAAACAGAAGATATCAAAATTAAGCCAAAAAATGTCCAAAGGCCTTGGAGCTTTTCTGTTGCTGTTTAGTTTTTGTTGTTCTGCAGTGTTGGGCATTGGACCCAAGGCCTCCTGTGTGCCAGGTGAATGCCTGGACAGTAAACACGCCCGGCTTGCTTCCTTCCGTTCTCCTCTGCCTCCTGACAAGCCTAGCGAAACCACGATGAGTACAGTCTGGGGTGCCCCTTACCTCTGCTTCCTGTATTATTCTGTAGGCATTCCTAGCACCACTCATCCAGTCACAACACTGTAAATAAATCTTGTCTCTGTATTATGGCTTGGATATGAAATGTTAAGCAAACATTTTCCCGTCCTGTGTAACAACAAAAATCTCCCCAGAATTTTATTTCTTCGTGCTATCTTGGGATCTAGACTAGAATGTGACTCAGACTCAGCTACGGATGATTCTGCCCACTGGTCATTCCTTAAGCACAACTATTCTGGTGCATTTTCTCAATCCAAAGACTTGTGAATTCAAGAAACAATTTCCCTGCACCCCATGATAACCATTCCAAAGTACAGCAGGAGGAGAGTTACAGGATAATTGTCACAAGCAGTCCTGTTCAAAAAGAGGGAGCTAGGGGCACACAGGAGTCACACGGTATCCATGGCGACTCTGAGAACCAAGGGAATGCTGGAAGTTACTAGATTGGGACCC